TTATTTAATTAAATTTACCAACTAATAATTTATAAAACCAGAAAACAAACTCCCCTTAATTAATTAGAAGGGCTCATTTGGATTAACAATTAAAATTTAATGTATAATTGATAGCTGATGATTAATGGTTAATAATTGATAATTAACAATTAATAATTGTTGTTGTTTGTAATTAGTATTTGATAATATAGTTATTAATTGTTTTTAATAAAGTGTTAAATTACTATTAAAGATATATATATTATTAGTTAAATTAATTTTTTATTCAAAATTAGTTAAATTAATGTTATTTCTACCAAGAAGAGAAATCAAAACAGTCTAAAAAACTGTTAGAAAAATTTTAAAAGTTTAAATTTAAGTATATATAAATAATTGAATAAATAAAAAAATTCTTCAAATGCTTTTAGATCTAACAACTACTTTCCTGACCGTTGAAAACCAATTATTGAAGAGTGTAAAACTGTAGACTAATTTTTAATATATAATAAAAAATTTTATTTAAATTCTCATATTTAATAAGAAAATGCTTAAATAAAATGGTTAATTTAATATTTTTTTCTATTTGAATATGTTAATTTTATTTTAACTTCTAAATAAAAATATCAATTTTTAATATTTTAATTAAAAAAATTAAAAATTAATACTTTTATTCAAAAATTAATAAAATTAATATTTTAAAATAAAAATATTAAATTTTTTCTTCACGTTTAATTGATGATTATGACTACAGTTATGAGCCCCTTCAAAATTTTCCAAACAAACGGCGACGAAGTTAGAATTACAAATGACGTGATATTTTGGTTAACATAGTAGACTTTTTCGCAAGACCCGCAACCTGCAGCCATTCATCAAATTCCGTACATTCATACACTACCCCATCCCCATGGCCCATTGCCCATGGACCATGGACCACCCTCCCCGCCCTCCCTAAAACCGAGTCAAACACGGCACTCCCACTCAGTAGTCCAGTCCCCCCACTACCCAACTCGCTCCTGTCTCCTCTTACTCAGACACCTTCTACGTACCCTCCACGTGGGGGACCCTGCCCCTCCTCCAGTCCTCCGCCACAAATTTCCTACTCACTACCCGACACGCCACTCCCTGCGCTCTGGCTAACATACTTACAAACATATTTATTCTTTTTTCCAAAATTAATAATAAAAATAAATAATAAAGGTAGGCGCCGGGCTGGCCGGGTCAGGCCGCTGAGCAGCGCCGTACAATATTGGTAGGGCTTATGTCACCACTCGGTTTCGGGGGGGACTAATCACATGACAAAACCAACCATCTCTTCTCTCACGTCTAGTCAGGCGGCGGGTTCTCGTTATCGCCACGTAAATTGTTTTTTTTTTTTTTTGTAGACTTTTTCAAATTTACTAATTTTTTAGTATATGATTGGTTACAATAAAACAAAACATTTAAAAATACAAATCTATAAGTTAGTATCGAATAGATTTTAAAAAATTAAGATTTTTTAAATTTTGATTATAAAAATTTAAAATAGTTTTAATAAATTAATACGTAAAAAATATTGTTAAAAATATATAAATAATTTTATTTTAAAATTTTAACATTTAAAATATTAAAATGTTTTAATTTTTTAATCAAAAACTTAATAAAAAATCAATTATAAACATCAACTATTCTGTTAAGTTTAATTTAATTATTTCATTTTATTTATTTATAAAAAAATGTATTGATTATAATAATTAAGATTTATTTTTTTAATTTTTGTCTTTATTACAATTAAATAAAAAGTCTTAATCTATTTTTATCCCTAATGAAATAAGAATAAAATTAAAAAATTAACATTCAACATTTCAATAATATAACAAATAAAATAATCAAATAAAATTACCTTTATTTTTTAAAAATAAAACAAATAAATTATATTAAAAAAAGATACTTATTATATAAATTAACATCAATTAATAATTATAATACTAACATGTTAGTTAGAATAAAATTTTTTTATTTTTTTAATAATATCTTAAATTTCAACCTTACAAATAAAAAAATAGACCTTAACAAAAAAAATTTTCTTATGTGATTTTACATAATCCAATTCTAAATTAATTAAATTTAATATAATTTTCATACGTATAAAAAAATTTAATATCAAAAACCTCAATTAATAATTATAATTATCAAACTACTCTAACAACCAAATTAAACAAATTTAAAATATAATTACGTGGAATTTTCATCTCTCCTTTTTCCCCAGTAGGTCCCATTCGGGTTAAGCTACACTAAACAATCACTGTTGATCAGTCTCCCAAGATCATGATGAGAATCCGACGGTCATGAAAAGATTGTTAGTTCTTTATATAAATCAACAACTCATGCCGTCCATCCGACGATTACGGGAGAGACATTAGTGGGTCCCTCTCTGTTTGCACACACCATCTTTCTTCCCTTTCCGAGCCTTCCCCTCTCTTCGCTTTTTTCCTTGTTCCTCCCTTTACGGCTTTCTGCTCTCCAATGGCGTCGTCGAGAGAGGGGCACTACAGGGGAGTCCGGAAGAGGCCGTGGGGGAGATATGCGGCGGAGATACGTGACCCCTGGAAGAAGACGAGGGTTTGGTTGGGCACATTTGACACACCAGAAGAAGCTGCACTCGCTTACGACGGTGCCGCCAGGTCTCTCCGTGGAGCCAAAGCCAAGACCAACTTCCCCGCTCAACCCGCCGCCACCGGACTATCCCTCGACCTCAACCTTCCTTCCGATAACCATCACCATCATCGGTGGGGTCCCGCTCCCTCTCATCAACATCAACGTCACGCCCTCGGCGAGTTTCTGCAGTCCGACGTTCTAAAGGAGATCAACTTCGACGGCAACTCCTCGTCCCACAATGGAAATGTCGTTACGGTTGCTAGTGGTCCTCCTGTGCCTGAAAAAGGATCGTCAGCATCGCTTTACGGGGATGTACAACGAGGGTTTCCCATAGATTTGAATGAGCCTCCTCCGTTGTGGCTGTGAGAGAGAAGATCTGTGACTTGACTTAACGAGAGTCTTTAGGCATTTTCCGGCGTCGTTTCCCCTTTATGTTAACTTCCCTTTGTTCCCTCATACCGTCGGTATCTTCTACTGTTTTCTTCTTAAAGAGGGATAAAAAATATATATCTGAAGAACATTGAAAAAGTGAAGAACCTTTGTGTACATACATGTTTTGTTTTTTCGTTTCTACCATGAAACATTGTCCTTCCTTTCTTTTCTCTTCTTTTTTTTGTCTATTTACTTAATGCATATTGTTAATTTTCTGTTATTATCTAAACGATAAAATAGAAATCTTTTTAATGAAAAGGCTCAATTAAATTAAAAAGCCCGTCCCTCATCCTAAGTTTCTTGTTTTGCAGTTGAAATACTGCATACAGTTTCTCACACACTGCTTTTTCCCATCATGGTGTTAATTTAAAGTTCTTCCGTTCAATCAAAAGGTTGAAAAAGGATTGATGTATGTTTCTTCTGATTAATGGTTTTCAACCCCCCAAAATAAAATCTGTTCAAAAAAAAAAAAAAATACTTACAGCGAAATGGAAAACTAATATGCAGGTGTTTGTAGGGCACGAGCCGGGAAGATGAGAGTGTGGAAGGGAGTACGAAATAACAGGAGTACCGAAATGGGTGAAAGAACAGAAGGAGGAGCAAACGTGTGGGTTTAGCATTTCTCTTTTTATTTATAATGATGCACGAATAAATTAGTACAGTGAAATGGATAAAGCTTATGTATGTTTATTTGCCGGCTTTTCTGCCTTGCTCCCTCGATCACCTCATCTACGTTTTCTTGAAATATGAGGAATCATTGTTATTTTTGGTCTCAGTTCTGCTCTAGTAACTATAATAAATAATTTGTTTCCTGGCCGTGGGCAAAATGTTTAATAGCCAGGTTTTTTTTTTTTTTTTTTTTCTGAACATTGACTATTAGGGGGAGAGGGGAGGGAAAAGAGTGGGTTTTTAACCTCGTATCTTGAACTGAGATGTGTTTTAATAATATTTGGATGAACAGTGAATCGCTTCAACTTCTCAATAACAAGGTTTAAAGGCGTATATTTACTAAGTATTATATTAATTTAAATCTTATCTTTTAAAATTTACATTAGTTTAAAATAAAAATTATAATAATTAATTTATCTCTATCTCTTTCTCTTTTGCTTCAACTATTTTTAGTCTTTTATTAAATTATATAAAAAATAAATTTTAATTTTAATAATTATTTAAATTAATATATAAGACATTAATATTAAAATTAATTTTTCATTTTATTATCCATGTCTTCTCTGAGGAAAATTTTGCAAGAATATAATTGACTTGTGCTTGGTACTAGTATGGATTAATTAATTCCTTATTATCAGCAAACAGGAGAATTGGTTCGTGATTGTATT